TTTTTTTTTGTAAGTTGGAACGAGAAAAATGAAAGCTTACGAAATCATGCAATGATATGGAACAGTGAAAACTATTTACAATTATCTTGCTTTTTAGTATACATACATTGTTGTAGTACATAGTATTAATATGCACATTCTAAATGCATAAATATGTATGCAAGTAGGTACATGGACGCTATGCGGGTGTACTGATCTCATGAAAGCATGGCATGACATGGCGCTGGGTGTGTTTCTCGCTGGCATGTATGTATGTATGTATGCAAGATTTGCTTTATTTGAACTGAACAGATAAAATTTCACGCAATGCACTTTTTATAGTGCTTCTTACTTACTTATGTATTTCGCAAATATTATCTAACTACATAAATATTTCTGCTATTTATCCGCCTGAGCGCGAAATATGAAAAAAGACGTACAGGCAAGTTCTGCAATTCCCTGAAAATTAAATTTTCGCAAGTTTTTTTTCAAAATCTAATTTTTGATGCAGAATGACAGAAAATGAGAAACTACATCGATTTTTTTGTCTCTCCTGAACAATTTCGAAAAGAACTTGGCACCGGTCAACAATCCACTTTTTTGGAATTTTCCTTTGTCGTCCCCCGAATTATAGAAAACGAAAAACAGAAGCCCGTATTTTTTATTTTAAAATCGGTTAATATTTACACAAAGGTGCCGCAGGGCCTCTGAAGTTTTCCACGTATGTACTCCCACTTTCTTCTTCTTCTTATTTGACATTGTAACGGCCTAAGCGATTTTGGTCGCGCTCAGCAAAGCATGCCAGCCGTTTCTCTTCTGTGCTAACTCACGTCAATTGGAAATGCGAAGTCCTTGTCCACTTACCACCAGCGGGTTCCGCGTTGAATACTTTCTGAGCTGGAGCGTCGTTGTCCATTCGAACGGAATGGCCAAGCCAGCGGAGCCAGGCATTTCTACTTGGCATCAGACTGGCATGCTTTATTGAAATCAGCCCAAATCACTTAGGCGATTATAGCGCCAAATCAGAAAAAGGATAAATATCAGTGGCACACTGACACACTTTAACCAGACTCAAATGGCGCTTTCTAGATTTTATTTATTTGCAGGCGTGTAAGTAACGACTCTTATATAACTGTGAAATTTGATCGCTTTGATTAAGAGACTAGCTCTCCTTAAGAAAAATATTATCGATTCTTTGAGGAAATTTAGTTGAGAAAATAGAAGAGTAAAATGTTCTACTAAAATATTAAACAAAGTACTATAGGTATACTAGAGATACTTAACCGATGATGAAAATCTTCAATTTCTTGCAAACCCTTCAGTTCAGTGTTGCTTAAGCTGTCTAATCTCTCGAAAGATTGGTCCCCCAGAAATTCGACGCGTTTTCTGCGGATTGCAGGGCACTCAACAAGGAGGTGTCGGGCGGGTTCTTTCTCCTCTTCATCACCCCAGGATCGGGCAACCTTGTGGTAAATGGCCTAGTGTCCCACTACTATTCCTGTGAGAAGCCTAACGTTTGGCTTTGAGAGCCTTAGCAAGCTCTGGTGTGCAGATTTTTCCACCAGAGCTTGGTAACACGATCTGGACCACTTCATCTAATCCTATCTCAGATAACTTTCTAGCACACTCGTTCGCTTCCTCAATTTCCGGAGTACCTTTACGTTCCAGAACCCATTAGAAAAGAGCTTGTAAGCATCTTCGGCATACACCACCGTATATCGAGCCAACCCTAAGACTTTGATGGCACCTTGACTGTCAACAACCAAGGCAAGTTTAGATGGAGCTTAGTAATCTCGCGATCTATTCTTGAGAAGATGCCAGATCATGTGCCTATGTCCATTTTTGAGAAAACAACAATATTGAACTCCCAGTCACTTCTGTCGAGAAAATGGATATCGAAGCTTCGGTCGGATTCAGTTTCTGTGACCTGATGATCACAGCTACTGTACTCAACACCCACTCTGTCGAAGATGGTGTCGTCACCCTTGCAAGTTATTCGCAGCCTGATAGACGCCCTGAGCTGCGGAACTTTTAACGTATGTATATGTTGATAGGTGGAATGTCCAGAAAGGTCTCTAGCGCCATCTAGCGTGAGGTGAAGATGAGCGTAACTACTGCCGTATAAACCCAGTGTATTATCTGCGGTCATATGTCGAAGTTTGCCCTTAACCATCCAGCGTCATTAGAGGTATTTATTTACTTCAGACTACATAGAGATGGGGGCGCGGCACTAAACATTAAATACCGATCTCGCACATGTCGACATTAAAGTCCCGACCCCGCCCATCCCGTTTTTCAGAATTGTACCGCGGGTGACGTGGCCACGCGTGTGTCTAATATCTATGTATCTCTAAGTAAAATTCACATGGCTTTCAAATTAATTTTAAATG